GGGTGCACAGAGGGTCCCGGCTCAGGCCTGGCAGGGGCAGACAGGGTGGGCTTTGCGGCAGAGGGATGTTCGAGTTGAGTCTCGGGGGTCGTGGGGGGCAGGGGCTTTGTGGGTGCAAAGGGTGAGCAAGCCCAGGCAGTGGGGGGACAGGTCTAGGAGGCGCGGGGCTGGGCCTCCTTGATGGCCGACCCGAGGCCAGGCCGAGGAGGGGCCCACAATCTGCCGGGCGGCCTTGGTGGGGGTCTCTCGGGTCTCTGTGGAGACAGGCTGGGGCTGGGGAGGCCGGCGCTGGAGACCCCACCGAGGCTCAGGGGAAAGGACTTCCTTTCCATATGAACAATTGTGGAAGGGAGCCATGACATCTGATTTTCCACTTAAACATGTATTTAGTGAATTGCTACGGTTTATTGGGCTTTCGGAGGGGGCTGTGATTGCATCGAGTGGTAGAAATCACACCGGGGAGATGCTCCCGGGGAAGCCGCGGGGTGTTAACCACTCCTACGTCTGTTGTGGGAGCCACCGCCTCTGCTGTGTGGAAACAGAAGATCCAAACTCCAGGCCAGAGGGTCCCGGTGCTGAGCCTCTCCAGACCTGAGGCATTAGCGAGGAGTAAGAACACCGGCTCTGGCACTGGGTAAGCCTGGCTCAAATCCCGGCTCCAGACCCCATTTCACAGATGAGCAGTTGAGGCCCGGGTGACTTGCCTAAGATCACTCGGTGACAGGGTTTGAACTGCTATCTGCCTCGCTGCTCGGAGAGGCTTGCCACCCCCTCGGCCGGCTCGTGGCTGGAGACGCCGCTGTGGCCCCGCGCACACAGAGCGGCTGCGGACACGCGGGAGCTGCTCGGTGCACCTGCTCGTAAACCGTGAAGTGCCCCCGGGAGGGCAGGGGGTGCAGTACATTCACTGCCTGTTCAGCGATGTTCCCATGGGTTGGCTGTGTGTCTGGAAGAGTGGGGGGAAGGCCTGCCACCCCCAGCCGGTCCCCTTCAGGGCAGGGACTGGCTCCCGGGGACTGTTTGGATGACTGGAAAGTCACTGCCATTATTTCAGGGCCTGGAAAATTACTATTCATGACGGCAAGCTTAAAAATGAAATAATAAGTCTGTCCTTTTAAAAAGCAAATTGTGACACCGGAATATTCATGAGCTGTGACTTCACGGGGATGGCAGCAGCCGGAGATTACCATTCGGTTAAGTCAGCAGCAGAGGAATTTGGGGAAATGCACTTGTCAGTCTGAGGAAACGAATGATTAATACTTTTCCTGTTTGCGGGGCCCCTGAACGGGCGAGTTTTTAATGTAATAATTAATTAACCTTGGGACCACTCCTATCTGCCTGGCTCCTGAGGCCTCGGCCCCCCGAGGCCGCGGTGTGGCCGGCTCCGTACCTGCCCCCCACTCGTGGGTGCCTATGACCTCTCGGGGGTTGAGTAGGATCCCCTCCAAACTCACGCGCACCCAGCACCTCAGAGTGGCTTTAAGAGTTGGCAACAGGGCCTTTGCAGACGTGGTGGGTTAAGGACCTGCAGACGATGTCATCGTGGGTTTGGGGGCCCCACATCCCGTGACAGGTGGGCGCCCTCTGAGGCCTGGGGAGACAGAGGCACGGAGAGGAGATCTGGGACACGGAGCAGGCCCGGGGCAGACGGGACAGTGAGCGGCACAGCGAGGGGCGTCTGGGCGCACCCCCAGCAGCCTGGGGGGCCAGCCCCCCCACTCCCGCTGCCTCTGCTCTTTGCTTGAAGCTCCCTGCCTTGTGGGACTCTGCTATGGCTCCCCGACACTCCCACCCTCGGTGGCCTGGGGGAGGGGCCGGGGCCCGTATGGGGCTACATCCTGAGAACCAGGAGCCCCCGGGGCACTGGCAGTGGGGCCGCGTGCCGGCTTTTGACGGAACAGCGTTAAGTGGCCAGATGCCCGCCCTTCCTCCCTCTGGTCCTGGGGTCTCCCACTGAAGGGTGTTGGGCCAGAGCTGTGCTTTTCAAACTGGGCCCCCCAGGGCACCCACAGGGGTGACAGGGCTGTTTCTTCTTGTTGGGTGCCTCAGTTTCCCCCCAATCACCCCCTCCCTCCTGCTGTCTGGAGGGCTCTTAGTCACCCTTGAGGGCCCGTTCCCACTACCCTCGAAGGGGGTGCTGGCTGAGCCACCGCGCCCTCACAGTAGGGCACCACCCAAGCAGGCTCCCAGCAGCGGCGCCGAGGACCGGGGCGGCCCACCCAGCGCCTGCGGGACAGGACCGCAGCTCGCCCCTGCCCTCTAGTGGCCGCCTGGAGGCAGCGCGGGCAGCCGCTCTTCCGAGACCTGGGGTCCCCGCAGGGTGGGTGCCCCCCCAGTCAGACTTGAAGCCCCCTCTGCAGGGAGACCCTCTACAGCCCTTACAGCCTAGCACTGCCCGCCCAGGACCCCCGAGCCCCGTCGCAGCAGGCGTCAGCGGGGGTGGGGGGCCCGGGGGAAGGGAGGTGGTCCCTTGGCACCACCAGGCCGTGCACGCCGCGGTGCCGGGACCGAGCCAAGGCTGCCACACCCAGGGAAACCCTCCGCTCGTGCCGGCCCCACCTCGGGCCCCACGGTCAGACCGACGGCACCTCCCAGAGCGGGGCCACCTTATTCCTGCCGCACTTCCGGCACCTGAAGTGCCTCCCAGCGCACAGTAGGTACGAAGAAAATGCATAAAATGCATGCCGGGTACCGAGGCAGGTGCGCAAGCGAGGCTGCGCCGAGTCGTGTGCACGATGTGCTTTAGGGCCTGGCGTCTGTTGTGGGGGAGGCAGGGGTTAGGGTGGGGAGAAGCAGAGCTGGCCGCTGGGGGGGTCCGGGGCCGCGTGGGTGCTGGATCTTTACACGCAGGAGCGCGAGCTGTCACCCTGCAAGGGGGGGCTGCTGGCTGCTCCCCAAAGCTGGGTGGCAGGTTCTCCCTCTCTGTATCCACTCGTGTCTTAATCCTCATGTAGAAGAGGAAACTGAGGCTCAGAGAGGGAGGAACCCGCTGAGGTCTCTGGGGACAGCGTGGCCCCTCCCTGCAGGGGATCCTAGGACAGCACCTCATCCCTGCTCCCAAGGGCCGGCAGGGAAGCAGAGCCCGGGGGGAGAAGCCCCCGACCCAGGTCCTCTGGGGCGTCTAGTGCTCTTCTCCTGAATCCTCAGAAGAGTTACGGTTTACTCACTGCTTCTTAGGTCTGTCTCCTCGGAAACAGGCCACTCAGGACATCGGTTCTGCAGTTACGCCCGCGTGACGGGGTCAGCCATTAGAGGGCGGGCTGTGCCCAAAGTGCGGAGGGGTGGCCGGGGGCAGGCAGTCTGGGATGCCTGTGGATGGAGGGCGCTGGGCACATGGCCAGGCTCGGCCGATTCAGCTGACAAAGGTACAGTGAACCGCTTTTAGAGTCGGTTTATTGCTGACATACGACAGGAAGGACTCCTGGGCCCTCGTCCAGCACACGCGAAAGGGCGACACTGGAATGACAGCGGCCTGTGGCGCCACGGGAGCCGGGCCGGGCCGAACAGCGTAGCCCCTCGCAGGCAGTGGCTGCACCCGCCTGCGGTCTCAGAGGCGTGGGCCGCGCCGTGACTCTCTCCTGCTCATGCCTTCACGTTCTCCTTCTTGAAATCCCCCCTTTCGGACCTCACGGTGCCTCACTCTTAGAACTTTCCGGTACCATTCTTCTGTTTCCCCGGCAGGCTCCTGTCTGTACAGCGGGCGGGTGGGCACAGCCATTGTTTTGGCTCCCGTGGGCCAGCCAGAGGCTGCCCATCCGTGTCTCCAGCCGGGCCTGTCCCCTGGACCTCAGCCCTGCGCACCCCGGGCCCTCGGACACCCCCTGACGTCCGGGACACCTTGTGCACAGCAGAGCCCGGCACCCTTGCTGCCCCGCCCTCCGCTGCTCCCTGGGGGTGCGGGCGCCAGGGTGCCCCTTGTCACACACACTGGAGGCACTCGGGGCACCGCTGCCTTCGCTCTCCGCACTGCCTGGATGCCTAGCTTCCTCCCACATGCAGGCTGGCTCCCGTCCTCCTCCCTACCCCCCCCACCCTCCCGAGGCTGGAGACCATCCACACCGCAGGCCTCTGGGCCTCCGACGAACACCACTTGCTGTAAGGCCCCTTCCTGCGGCCTGGCCCCGCTGGGCGCCTCCAGCCTCCTTCCCTCCGCTCGCAGCCACCGCCTCCCAGCCGAGCAGCGGTCTCGCTCACGGATTCGTGTCCTGACTCACGCAAGCAACCGCTGAACGTCAACAGGACGAAGGAAACGGGCACGTCCAGGTGGGGCTGTGGGGACGATGAGGACACGGCGCGAAGCGCAGGGCAGTGAACGTCCGAGGGGCACGTGCGCGGGGCGCCGCCGGCCTGGGCCGCCCGTCCCGGGGCGCGTGGGGCTGCGTGGCGTCCCTCGCTGCTCAGTAAAGCTGCTCCGAAAGGCCCGGGTCCTACCCGGTCCGTCCAACCCACATCCGTCGTCACAGGAACGGCGCGCAGGCCTCGGGGCAGCTGCCGGGCGTCCGCTGCGGCTCGGCCCCGAGCGGAGGCGGCTCGGCGGCGTGGGCGGCGGCTCCCGGGCGCGTGTGCCGCGCTGGGGCCCCGGGGCAGCGGAGCCCGAGGAAACGCAACTCCGCACGCGCGGGCACAACTGCGGGGCGGCACCTCTTCCCCGAGTGCGGAGAAGCCGGAGGGCCGTTTCAACGTGCCTTACACAGCCTGATACACCCAGACTGTCGTTTCCAGACGCACTCGGTATAACGGCAACACGGAGTAGGTTTCACTTCTTTTCCCTGCGGACTGTCGGAGACCTGCCGTGTATTCTTCGCTCAGAGCCCATCTCAAGACGGATCACCAAACTCAAACGTCCCGCTTGCCCGCGGCCCCGGACGGAGGAAGCGGCAAGAGAACTACACCTCCCGGCATTCCCTGTGACGTACTTCCGGCGCGGCGGGGCTTCGGGAGAACCACATCTCCCGATATGCCCCGGGCGCGCGCTGTGACGCACTTCCGGCGCGGCGGGGACAGCGCGCCCCCGGTGGCCCGGCGGCGGGAGGAAGGCGACCGCTCGGCCCGCGGCAAGTGACGGGCGTCTGGCCGAGGGGGAGCCGGGGCGGGGCGGCGGCGGCCAGCGAGGGAGCGCGCGGGCGGCCTAGCCCCGCCCCGGTGACCTTCACGGCCCGGGCGGCGGGCGCGGGCCGGGTGGCGGCGGCGCGATGTTCGTGCAAGAGGAGAAGATTTTCGCGGGCCAGGTGCTGCGGCTGCACATCTGCGCGTCCGACGGCGCCGAGTGGCTGGAGGAGGCGACCGAGGACACCTCGGTGGAGAAGCTCAAGGAGCGCTGCCTCAAGCACGTAAGGCCGGGCCGCGGCTCCAGGCCTGCCCCCGCCCGCCCCCTTCTTCAGCGGCCCTGCTTCCCGACCCCCACGCCCCCCGCAGCTCGCCGACGCCCTCCCCGGGCCGAGGCGCCCCACGCCCGGCTCCCGCCGCCGGCAGGCCGGGAAACTGAGGCAGGAGACGCGAAGGCGCGGCGCGGCGCGGGGCCTTATGGTTTTCCAGCGTTGGTGCTCGCTTGCGCTTGGGGGTGAGGCTCTTGGTTTTTCCGCCGCTTTCGAGAGCCGGGCGCCGAGGAAGCAGGGACTCGCCGTGGACCCTTCCCTTCCCTTCCCTGCGCGGCCGGCGACCTGGAGCTGTTTCCCGCTGGCTGGCACGGGAGCCTGGCTCTGGCCGCTTGAGCCGCTGAGCTGGAGTCCCTGGAACGGGGCCCCTTCTAGACTCGTCCCCGAGCGCCCGTTTTGCCGTGGCCTTTGCATCCATGGGGGGGGGGCATCCAGAAGAAGGGTCCCCTCGCTGAGAAAGCCACTATTTAACATCTGTTCGTGTGAAAGGTCCCTTGTATAGTTGGCTCCTTAGGTTGCTAATTTTTGGAAGTGGTTCTCGCGGCTGAAGCTCTGTAAACTCCTCCCCGCAGGCCACTGGGACACCTGACTCCCGCTGCGCTTGGCCCGGTGCGCGTTTCTCGTCAGGGTGTAGGGTCAGCCTTGTAGTGCGGATCCCACGAAGTCAATTACACGTTTGTGCGACTGAAGCGTCCTCTCCAAGGACGAACTTCCAGTGACTGTAGGGACTACGCATGAAGCTACTTTGAGTCACTTGGGAGTGTGGTTCTGTGGACTTGCCCTGTAACCCGCCAGGGCAGGCCAGCGAGCATTCAGATTGCCAGAGCGAGCCCCCTTCTGGAACACACTGGGTGTCAGTTAGGATGCAGTCCTGGCCTCACATCCAGGAAGGACTTCCGTCGGGTGTTTTCACCATCCAGAAACCCATGGGGACAGCAGGCTGGCAGGCTGGGGGCTCCGTTGCTTGTGGAGTCATTAATGTTAACTAAAAATTTTTAAAAATATTTATTTTGAGAGAGAGAGAGAGAGACTGAGCGCAAGCAGGGGAGGCTCAGAGAGAGAGAGGGAGACACAGAATCCAAAGGAGGCTCCAGGCTTTTGAGTTGTCAGCACAGAGCCCGACGCGGGGCTCAAACTCAAGAACTGCAAGATGATGACCTGAGCTGAAGTTAGACACTCAACCGACTGAGCCACCCAGGCGCCCTGAGTCCTGTACATTTAAAAAGAAACAAACCTCCTGACTCGCTCCCCCCCCCTGCCCAGGCCAGGAGCTACTTGAGGGCCGGGTCTGTGTTTACACATCCAGAACAAACCTGTGGATTATTGGAATAACTGGGAATGGGTGGTCAATTCAAAACTGCGCAGACCCGGCCCGACACCTGCTGAGGCGGGCAGGGAGAAGTCCGTGGGGGAAATCAGGGTGGCATTTAGCTTAACTCGCTAATTTACATGGCTGTCAAAGTATTGTTTTATGAAGGGGACAGGAAGCGAGAACTGTGGGGTTGGTCCGCAGACACTTTCTAGTGAATTTTGGGAGCTCTTGGGGTTCATTAGGCAGCCAATTTGAATACGATGCTAATTATTATATTCCTGATGTTTATCGTTGAGTCGGGATTGAGGTGCGTCGTTGGGACTTTTCTGGCACGCTCCTACTTTAAATTGAGATTTTATGCCACTTCACAGTCTCCCCAGGTATGGAGGAGACGCATAAACTACGGGACTCGGGAGCTGAGTCGCCAGAAAGTATTCCCACCTCCACGCCTGTCCCGTTCTGTAGGCAGGACACGCTGCCCCCTGAGCCAGTCAGGACGCACTGGTTGAAAGGAGAGCGCTCATGGGGCGCCTGGGTGGCTTAGTCGGTTAAGCATCCGACTTTCGCTTAGGTCATGATCTCGCGGTGTGTGGGTTCGAGCCCCGCGTCGGGCTCTGTGCTGACTGCCAGCTCAGAGCCTGGAGCCTGTTTCAGTCTGTGACTCCCTCTCTCTCTGGCCCTCCCCTGTTCACGCTGTCTCGCTCTCTCTCTCTCCTAGAAATAAAAA